ATTGAAATTGAAAGTCGCTACAAATAATAAGCAATTTTTTGCGAGGATAACCAAGCATACTCGATTATGCTCAGATGTTATGTGTCAATTGTGTCATACTCCCCAACTCCCCCTCTATCAAATTCTGGGATACTCGAGGATCAAGAACACTTAACTTATTCTGTGAGAACAAACCGAAAATCAGCTTTTCTACATTTAAAATCGACGAAAAAATTAACTCACTAACTAGCACAGCCTGAATCTGCATTCCATCGCGGTCTGCAGGTGATGTCATCACTATAAGCTGCTGGTAGTGACGTCACTCGCAGGCCAGGAATTGGATGGTGAGGGAGTTGGGGAGTATGACACAATTGACACATAACATCTGAGCACAATCAATGTTTAGAGGATTTCAAGCGTTTGACCGGTTGGTTACACTTGACAGATAAACAATGACGTAAACGTCATTTGTTGACCAATTGGTCTTGAATGACGTAAAATGCGTTGCTCATCTGTCAAAGTTACCGACTGGTCAATCGCTTGAAAACCCCCTTTGATTATGCTCGCGAAAAATTAAAATAGGAATCACATTGCACAATAAAATTATGACCAAATTTATTGACTGGTTTTATGACGTCATATGACGCAACCGCCTAGCTTTTTTTTTTTTACGGATATGCGCACTCGCAAGGAAATGTCTGTCAGCTACCGATTTTTAAACGAAAACTACCGATTATTTCTCCAAGAATCTATCGACTTCAATTTGTCAGAAATGGCAGCATTGCTAGATTGATATAAAAATCCCTAGTTTCAGAATATATTCGATTTCTAGTACGGGGGAATCCCGTATTCGAACCTAAAACATCTAAAACCAATGAAAACCATTCAAAACTGTCAACAAGTATAAGTAGATGAACGTAGAATTTGAAAACAACAATTGGATGATCTTGCGTTCGGTAGAATATATTTATTTCGTATCTTTCTCTATTTGTACGCGTTAGAAAGAGACATTCGATATGTGCAAGCAATCTGCAAGAGATATTGTTTTTCTTTTCTCTCTCTAACACATATTGTACTAAGCGATATATAAAATATTACGGTAATGAAAATGAAAAAAAAAACCATCTGGCATAAATTTCTCTTTTTACCTAATTACTCAAAATGTCCCTAAATCTAGGGAGAAATTTCCTAATATACCGTCACTGACCTATAACAAAGTAGGAGACAAACGTATAAAGAATTCAATGATTAAGAAAGAGACAAATATAAAGTAGGAAAAAAAGTGACACGAATTTTGATTATTCCCAGCGCTTGAATGATGTATCTGACTAATGAAGTGCCTGGAATAGAGAGAAATGGTATGCTACTAAATTCAATAGGTGAGAAAGGGACAGAGATGAAATGGGCAAAAATATATTACACAAATCTTAGACAAATCAGAAACTTGGATATAACAAAGTAGGAGACAAAGACAGACGGAGTTATATGCGAGCCCGAAGGGCCGGAGTTATTCCAATCACGAGACCGGAGGGCGAAGGTTATACAGGTAGCGCAACAAGTACAGTGAAATTGCAGTCACGCTACAAGGATAGTCGCATAGGATGACGTCACTATCAGTACATATATTCGGTTATGTTAAAATCCGATAAAAATTTCAAAATAATTAGCATTGTCAACTGATGTCTTGGTTGACAAATGACAGTAATTGAATCAAGTAGGCCTTGGACAGGTTGCGTACAAAATTTTATTTGAAACCTGCAAATTTTTGATTATTCACGGCTCTCGAATCAATTTTCTTGTCACATGACGTACGACATTTCATTTTATTGCATTGACTAGTGAATTCAAACGAGTGAGATAGCTATATTGTAGGCAATGTATTTTTAATGACTCCCAGTAATAAACTCGGCTATTATAGGTATTAAATGTCAAAATGGAAATTATTTAGGACAAAATAAATTGCGTTTTATTATTATTATTATTACTGAGCCTTCGTTGACAGTTGACGTTTAAAGCGACATATTTTGATTATTCCCGGCGCTTGATTATCCGACCGTTCAAGTGCCTGGAATAAGGAAAAATGGTATGCAAAATTCGATGAGTAAGAAAGAGACAGAGATAAAATGGGAAAATAAAATAATACACAAATCTTTGGCTATTCGTGTCTGACAAATCAAGAACTTGAGTATAACAGAGTAAGAGACAAAAGACATAAAGGATTCAATGATTAAGAAAGAGACGAATAGAATAAACAAATGTGACACGTGTTCCTGGCGCTTGAGTGTTCGTGCATCTGACCAATCAAATGTCTAGAATAGAAAGAAATGGTATGCAAAATTCAATGGATGAGAAAAGGACAGAGATAAAAAAAAAATATAACACAAAATTTGGCTAATTTGTGTCTGGCAAACCAAGAGCTTGAGTATAACAGAACAAAGTAGGAGACAAAGACATAAATCATCCAATGATTAAGAAAGAGACAAATATAAAGTAGGAAACAAATTTTGATTATTCTCAGCGCTTGAGTGGTCTTGTATCTAACCAATTAAGTGCCTGGAAAAGAGAGAAATGATACGTAAAACATCCACAAAGAAAGACTAAGCTATAGGGAATTCATTGAATCAGAAAGAGATGGAATTAAAATATAGATAAGTGGCCTTGTAATTTTTGTAGGTTTGAGTTGAGTTATTCCAATTCAATTATTATAAAAATTGTACTGGACTTTTTTTAATTTCTTCCAAGTAAGAGAGAGAAAAAAAACTAGATCAGCTCAGAAGTTTTTTCAGAATTGATGCCTCAAATTATAAATAAATCGAACTGTCCTGTCAGAAATCGCAGAATTTTCAAATTTTTCTATCTGACCGACCAATCAAGAACTTCAAATAACAAAGTGAGAGACAACGATGTGAGAAATTCATTGAGTAAAAGAAGGATATAGAGTAGGATCGAGTATAGTGATTGGATTATGATACCAATCACGAGTATTGAATAGTCAAATGAAAGAAAGACACGGTATAAGAATTTCAATGGGTAAGAAAGAGACCCAAATAAAATAGGAAAACAAATTTTGGCTATTTGTGTCTAGCAAATCAAGAGGTTGTGTACTTATAACAGTGTTGGTAGATAGGTGTAGTTGAAATTCCCCATATGAGCACAAAAAAGTCCCTAGATTGGTATAAAAATCCCTAGGGAATCCCGCATTCCCACCTTAAACATCTAAAACTAATGAATGAAAACCATTCAAAACTGTCAACAAGTATAAGTAGATGAATGTAGAATTCAAAAACAACAATTGGACGATCTTGCGTTCGGTAGAATATATTTATTTCGTATCCTTCTCGATTTGCACGCGTTAGAAAGAGACATTTGATATATGCAAGCAATCTGTAATAAAAATTGTTTTTCTTTTCTCTCTCTAACACATTGAGCGGCATATAAAAATGTAAAATATTACGGGATTAAAAATTTAAAAATCCCTAAATCTGGCATAAATTTTCCCTTTTCCCTAATTATTCAAAATGTCCCTAAATCTAGGGAGAAATTCCCTAATATACCATCACTGGTTATGATTCCTGATTGGTGGGGGCTATGACGTCACATTTGACTGTCAAAGTTGTCAACCGAAAGAATAATCACGGTATTTACCGATTGAATAATCATTCCAGGTGGCCCGGAGGATAATGGGAACTACATGGCTATTAGGTATACAAGCATGAAATTTGGCACCCACATTCTCAAGGCAATATTAAGAGATTTCATTCGAGTCCCCAAAGGGTGGGGAATTTCTGCCATTTTTTCAAAATGGCCGACTTCATTGTTTGAAATGTCTTATTTTTCAAAAAAAAAAAACCCATTAGGAATATTCTTTGACTTTAAATAATACTTACAAAAATGCACACCTATAGAATTAGGCGTCCGGCGACTAAAGTAGCTCTTGTTCAAGATGGCTGCCAACTTACATGAAAATCTAAACCAGACAACTAACCATAACTTATGATACCTCGATTTCGACTAATTTTGAGTCGAGAAATCCATTTCTTGTGATAAAAATATCATACATATTGCCATTTCGCTTTTATGCGCCTAAAGTCGGCTATTTTGAAAAAATAGCGGAAACTCTTCTCCCCATGCAGAAATTTTTTGGGGACTCGACTAAAATCTCTTAAAATCACCGAGAATGTCGGTGCCAAATTTCATGCTTGTATACCTAATAGAAGCTGAAAATCGCCTATACAATTTATTGTTTTATCGATGGAGAAGTTAGAGGATTATATTGTAAAAGTTCTGGCAAAGTGTAATTCCAATTTGATAATGACTTTAATATTTATGTATATAACACACATATAATAACATTCGCTTAAGAAATGTACAATTTAAAGTTCCCAGAACAAAACAATGCGTTTCGCCTTTATACCGAGAAAATCTTATTGCTTAATATGGTAAGGCCGCCTAGTAAATACCGAACGTCATCGGACCAGAAAAAAAAAACCTCACTCTTACCATATGCACGAACGGTTAATTTATACATCTACGAGCAACAGTTACGTTATGGTACCCGAAGTGACTATTTCTAAAAGTAGTACCACGGCGACAGGTTCGCCCACATTTTTGTCGAGTGAAAACCGAAACGACAATGTAAATTAATTATCGACTTTCTGATCATCATAACTTAATGTCTGATATTGATCATCATTATTTTACATTAAAGTCTTCCAAAAGCCTACTCTATCAAAGTTTTGTGTAAATAAAAATTCCACTAACCATCCACAAAAGTGTCCTTCATCTTAGCCTTTAAATAGTCTCACCTTTTAAAAACCACCGACACCGGTCCCCTCGAAAGAAGCCATTCATCAACTTGCCCCTTGTTTAAAATTCATATAAATGATAATGTCGCAACTTGCTGTTTACATTATCACATCAATTCAGGGAACCCAAAACACAAACCTCAGTCTCGGCGATGATACACATACCATCATTTTTACAATCAAAAACGAAACGTGATTCGATTATTTCTTTTTCAGTATGCATCGGAACCAATGGACGAATGTCGGTGCCGTCGAACAGGGACCACCATTACCGGAATCTGAAAGATCGCTTCACCAATTGTACGTACGTGGATGGAAATTTGGAACTCACCTGGCTGCAAGACAACAATCTGGATTTGAGTTTTTTGCAGTACATACGCGAAGTGACCGGTTACGTTCTAATATCACATGTGGACATTAAAAAGTTGATTCTACCCAGGCTGCAAATAATCAGGGGACGTACTTTGTTCAAAATGAACCAGCACGAAGACGATTACGCTTTGGTGATAACCTTAAACAAAATGTATTCTGTAGAGCTTCCTTCATTACGAGACATTTTAAATGGTAGTGTTGGCATTATAAACAACTACAATCTTTGTCACATAAAAACAATAGACTGGAAGGAAATAATTTCGGAACCAAAAGCCAGAGATGTCTACGTTTACAATTTTACTTCAAACGAACGCGAATGCACTCCTTGCCATAAAGACTGCACTAGAGGTTGTTGGGGTGACGGTTACGAAAACTGCCAAAAATTTTCAAAAACAACTTGCAGCCCTCAGTGCGCTGAAGGCAGATGCTTTGGACCCAACCCCAGAGAATGCTGTCACCTGTTTTGTGCCGGAGGCTGCACTGGACCCAAACAAAGCGATTGTATCGCCTGCAAAAACTTCTACGACGACGGAGTTTGCACCAACGATTGCCCTCCGATGCAAATCTACAACCCTATAACCTATTCATGGGAAGCTAATCCTAATGGCAAATACGCTTACGGAGCCACGTGTGTCAAAAAATGTCCCGAACATCTACTAAAAGATACAGGAGCTTGTGTGAGAAGTTGTCCGCCTAATAAAAAAGCTCAAGATGGTGAATGCGTTTTGTGTGACGGACCTTGCCCGAAAACTTGCAAAGGTTACACTACAGTCAACTCGGGCAATATTGACTCGTTCAGAGGCTGCACTGTAATCGAAGGCTACCTGAACATACTGGAAAACACTTTCAATGGTTATCAGCACGTCTACCCCAACTTCACTTTCGGCGATAGATACGCAGTAATGGACCCAGACAGGCTGGAAGTTTTCAGCACCCTCAAAGAACTCACCGGCTATCTAAACATCCAAGCCTACCATACAAAATTCAAAAACCTCTCATACTTCAGGAATTTGGAAATAATTCACGGCAGAGAGCTGCACGAGTATTCTTCGTCTTTGTATATAGTGAAAACTTCCTTGGAATCTTTGCAGCTTAAAAAACTCAAGAAAATCAACATGGGCACGGTAGCAATACTGGAAAATAAGCATTTGTGTTTTGCTGAGGCAATCAACTGGGACAAAATCCGCAAAAGCCATGAGCATTCGCTAATGCTGTCAAATAACAGTGATCACAAAACTTGCGTCGCTAAAGGCTTGGTTTGCAACGACCAGTGCAGCAAAGACGGATGTTGGGGACCTGAAGCTGATCAATGTTTGTCGTGTGTTCATTACAGATTAGGCACGAGGTGTTTGCAGAATTGTAGCATCGAACCTGGGTAAGTAAAACAAATTAGAGTATGATTTTTATGCATATTTCCAGAACTAGAGTAGTAGTTCCAGGGGTATCTTTCAAGGAGATTGTAAAAAGGTATTTTTGTTCAAAATCAAAATTCTGTGAAGGTTCCATGAAATAAGTACATACATGCACATTAGGTATGCAAATCCAAAATTCCCATTGCATTATTTTGCACTCCTTTCTTTCTTGTTGAATTATACAGCCATATCAAATCACCTTTTTGAAATCCAGTCGAATTGGCTTTCAAGTCGTATCTGTGGGCCGGTATTCTCGTTCTCGAAAACGCTCACCGCTTTTCAGTCGCTCGGCACTTTCAATGTAAATTTGCATTTAAAGTGCCGAGCGACTAGAAAGCGGTGAGCGTCTTTGAGAACCAGAATACCGGCCCTGGTCTTCATTCGGTCACTGGCCAGCTGAATATGCTCTCGAGCAAAATCATGGATCCCCAGAAGTTGTGCCCTTATTTCGTCGGCATAATCTGGAATTTCTTTTCGTTCTTCTTCAGGTATTCCAAATATTAGATCACAAGGTACCTTCCGAGGTACCTTCCTACTAAAACAATGAAATTTAAATTTTTTTTTTGTTGAGATTTTGTATCCTAATGGTCATTTGGCATTCCACAAACTCCATACACTAAATTATTCTCAGAATTGATAAATCACCCCAAATTGCTTAACTCGATTTTATCTCAGGAACTATAAGTCCAAATGTGTTGAAATTTTCAGGGATTGTAGTCCAGTATCTATTTTCCCTTCCATAACTGGTATGCCAGCTTCAGATACCACGTAACCTAAGATTTCCATTTTCTTCTGAAATAGAAAACACTTATTTGGATTGAGTTTCAAGTTGGCATTCCGCAAGCGGTCAAAAACTTCTTTCAGGGTATTTTGGTGTTTTTGAAACGAATTTCCCATGATAATGACATCATCTAAATATACCAGGCAAGTTCTCCATGTAAGGCCTCGCAAAACAAGATGCATCAGTCGCTCAAACGTAGCTGGAGCATTACACAATCCAAAAGGCATTACCTTAAACCGGTATAACCCGCTTTCGGTATGAAGGCAGTTTTTTCTTTGTCATCTTTGTGTATTGCCACTTGCCAGTATCCACTTTTGAAACCCAAGGTGAAAAACCACTTGGAGCCCGATAGAGTTGTAAATGTATTGTCTATTTGATTATCCATCACAAATATGCCTGCTTTCTTCAGGATGAAATCTGTGGCTTCTTCAAGTCTATCTGGATCGAGGTGTTTTCATGATTTTTCCAAAGTCTGTATCAAAGTGTGGGTGTCTGTCTCCAATTTCGATTTTTCAAAATTTCGGTTATCTGGCAGGTCACAGTTCGATATTTGCTCAACTGGTTCGAGAGTTCCAATAATATCTCCTCCCTTTATTTTTACTGTTTCAGAAAAAACATTGGCAATTCTTATCATAATGTCTCCATTCGTTCTTACTAGAGTCTTTCCAAGTAAGAACAGACGTAATCTTTATCTCGTTGTTCTTCTTCTTCAAGTTCTAAGCTCTTCGTGGTCTCAGGTTCAGTTATTGTCTCAGTTATTGGGAAACTTCTTGGAATATCATATCATATCAAATTTATTTCAAATTGTCTAACTCGGATATTTTTCCTTTTGAATGTGACACTTGCAGAGCAAAATTTGAAAGAAAAGACTATTTGAAGAAACCCAAACCATCACATTCTGATATTTATCCATCTGAATGTGACACTTGCAAAGCAAAATTCAAACAAAAACACTTTTTGAAGAGTCACCAACAAATACATTCGGAAATTTATCTTTTTGAATGTGACATTTGCAAAGCAAATTTTAAAGTGGAAGACGATTTGAAGAAACACATAAAAATACATTGATATTTATCCATTTGAATGTGACACTTGCAAAGAAAAATTTAAACTTAAGTCTCAATGTTGCCTAAAACTTAGTCTTAAAGGCAAATACACAACTGACCGGTGCGCTGTATTGTTTAAAATGATATGCGATTTCTGGGTTAGAATGAGATGATATTCTCAGCGATTACCACATGATTCTCAGCGATTCCCATGGAGTCTTAGGAGATTCCTAGCGATTCCCAGGAACTCCCAAGTGATTTCCATGTATTCCTAATTGATTACTATGTGATTCCCAGAAAAATGTAGAATGATTTCCATTAGTGGATTTGCATCTATATTCCAAGACTTAAAGGTTCTAGAGTAGTATTTCCAAGACGCCGGGTATTAACGTCTTGTAAACATTTCGTAAAATGAGTTAGAAATAATCAAAATAAGTCGTACTTCTTGTTCTAAGTCTTAGATTTTTGTCCAATTTGCTATGTCCTATTAGTATCAGCCAGTAGCCTCTATATTCAGGTTATCTGTATCCTATGAATGCAATTAGGCCGAGGGATGTGAGGTCTCTGACACTTCCAAGTATTTTGCACACCTGATTTTTAAATTTGGTAAAGTTTCATGATTTCACTTGATTTGAACGATTTCCTGAGATAATTATTTGATTTTGCTTGATTTTGGTGATTTCACTTATTTTGTTAATTTCATTGATTTCCCAGATTTACATTGATTTCGCAAGAGTAAATGTGATTTTACTAGATTCACACGGATTTCATGATTTCAGTACCATTTACTATGCGTCGAGATCGAAAATTATTGTTAATGAGTAATGACAAATGCCATTAGCAACGCTATATCAAGTTAGTGGCATCATAATGAAGTCGAGAAGTTTTACTGTGCCAATACTAGGTACCACTTCACTGAAATTACATTATGTTGTGCTGTGAGTAATTTTGATCTTGGGTATACGTGAGGGGTGAATAGTTGACCCAAAATGTGTACACCGACTGCCAAATCCCACAAACTTTAAGGGGGCAACAGCACCCCATAGGTCTTTCCCCATATATTAACCCCCCCCCCCACTACAGGGGTTATGTGGAAAGATGTCAAAAAATTGTAAATACAAAAGTTTTGGGATTTTACCTGAAATTTTTGAATCCAATGTCAAAAACTTTTTTGTTTTTTTTTAGAAATGTCAAATTTGACAGATGATCAGTTTATTCTTATTTTCTCAAACGGAGTTCTGTGTTTAAAAAGATGCTAAAGAACATAGCAAACACTCTCTGAAACTTTGAACAAAATGGTTCAAAGTATTTTAAATCTAAAGACAAAAAGTCAAAATTTTCCGAAAATTTCAACACTCTATATTTTCTTATCCAGACGTTTGCAAACACATTTACCCATGCAAAAAGTGATTGTCCTACTGTACTCTATTTAAAATAATAAAATGCGCACTTATTTCGGACTCACCCTGTATATGGGGAAAGACCTTGTACACTGTATCCCAAATTGCTTGTAATCACAGGGTTTCTCGGTAACCAGCAGAGATCGAACTGTGCGATTTTCGCCACCCTATATGAATTTTTCGTGAAACTTTGAATGCCGCAAACAGAATTGTGCCCCCTTGTTTCGTTCCCGAAATATAGGGTGTAATAAAAATGTTGCGCTTTTTGGGGTGGCATCATACTTTTTAACGTGGTTATTTCTATTTTTGACAAATAATCCATAGCAAGTCTATCCAAAGATAGGCAATCAAAAAAACACCGGGGTGCTGTTGCCACCTTAAGGAAATTTGCGAGTGATTGTGAATGTGAATGGTTGTGTAAAGCCTATGTATGATAATTGGGTTAAAATTAAACAACAAAACACAAAAGACGCGAATTTTCAATATTTTAATGATAGAGATACTGCCTCAGAAAACAACGATTTCAGGATTTCAACAAATTGTATGTGATTTGTGATGATTTTAAGTGATATACAAAGATTTTCTTGATTTTGATTGATTTATCGGATATACTTGATTTGCATTGATTTCAAATGATGTTAGGGGATTTTTCAAGATTTTAATGATTTTAAGGGATTTAATGTGATTTTGCTTGATTTCACAGAATTCAATGATTTCTATTGATTTATGTGAATTTGAACAAAGTGTACACCTTTTTGTTCGTATCTACACCCTACCAAGCAAGTGACATCCAACCCTATCTTGAAGCTGAGCATTTACAGAGGCCTTGAATTTACTCAGAGATTCCAAAAATTATTGATGAATCTGTTGTGTGTAGTCTCTCCATGCTCAAAAATGTTTTTCGAGTTGATAAGTTGTTCCTAATTCTTGAAAATCTGTTGTGATGTTGTTGTTTATTCTGGAGAATCTCTGCTGTATCTGTCATGAAGTTCTTGATTCTCAAAGAATAAAAATTTCTATTGGATCTGTTGTGCAAGTCAAGTTCCTATACTCTATGATCTGTGTTGGTTGGTGTTTTCAATTTCCAACAATTTCTGAAGAATCTGATATGTGGTCTTTCCATTCTCGAAGATGTATGTCGAGTTGATAAGTTGTTTCTCATTCTTGAGAATTTGTGATGTAGTTTTTCATTTTGGAGAAACTCTGCTGCAACTGTCATGAAGTTCTTGATTCTCAAAGAATAAAAATCTCTATTGGATCTGTTACGCAAGTTCTTATTTTCAAAGAAACAGAATATGTACCTACCTACAACTTTTTCCAAAAATATTAAGACCTTGAGGTGAGCTTTATAAAAGGACGAATTATGCATCGATTAAAGGCGATTAATCTGACAACATTATTTCAATCAATCCCGCGCTTCCACGACAAAAATCTGTGAAACTGGGATACTCAGTAATACCGGCCCGGAGGGCCGGTGTAATACGAGCCCGAAGGGCTAGAGTTATACGCGAGCCCGAAGGGCTAAAGTTATACGTGAGCTTAAAGGGCCGGAGTAATATGCGAGCCCGAAGGGCCGGAGTTATACGCGAGCCCGAAGGGCTAGAGTTATTTTAATCACGGGGCCCCCCAGTCTATAATTCTATTGGTTAGTGGATAATTTGGAGCCAATCAAAAATCGGAAATATTCAAAATAAAATTATTAACATTCCTGAAAAATATTTCCTTTGAAATTCCCAAATTTTTCTTGGAATCCCCAAAAATCTGGTAAAGTCTCAGAATTTCATAATTTAGTGGAATTTCCAGGAATTTCGGTAGAATAATTATGTTATTCTGAAAAAGGAATTAGATGTGAAATTTATGCGGAGTTTCCATAGAATTTGCATTAAATTTTAATTCATCTCGAATTATTTGAAATTTCAGTGAAATTCTGATCGAATTACACGAAATCCTAAATGAATTACATGGAGGAATTTTAAACAATTATATGAAATCACACCGAAATTCCCAACATGAAATTTCAGTTCTTACTGAATTTTAGTAATGCCGAAGAATTTCCAGCTAAAAACATGGAATTTCGGTGATATTCCGAAAAATTCCCATGTAATCACATGAAATTTCAATATATTTCAGTGAATTTTTAAGAAATTACTTGAAGTTTCATTAATATTTCCAGAAATTCCTGGCAATTAAAAGAGAATTTCAGTGAAATTCCGAAAAATTCTTATGATAATAAATTAAATTTTGAAAAATTCCTTGAAGTTTCATTGGACTTCGAGAAATTTTCGGCTATGAACGTGGATATTCTCATAAAATTTTAGTAAATTCCGAGGAATTTTTAAGAAATTACATGAAATGTCAATGAAATTCCGAAGAATTTTATGAAAATTTTGTGGAATTTCATAATATCAGTGGTAAAATTTTGGAATTTTAGTAAAGTTAAAAAAAAATATATGGAATTTTGAAATTATCAGTGGAATTCCGAGGAATTTCATGAAATCCTATACTTACTGTAATTCCGAAAAAAATTTATCCAAGAATTCCATAGAATCTTTGAAATGTTAAGGTATTTCTATGGAATTACTTAAAATTTTCGCGGAATTCCCTTGGAATAACTTAAAATTTTAGTGAAATTCCAAAGAATTTTGATGAAATCTTCGAGGGGTTAATCACTCCCCGAAATCGTGTCACAAATTTGTCCGAAATCCACGAAATCACTCCGAAATCCCTCCGGAATCTTTCAGAAATCTTTCCGTAAACCCAAAAATCCCTCGTCATTGGCTCAAAATTCATAAATCGGCCACCGCGGCCGTTTTTCAGTTTATACTAATACACTTTTGAATATACTTATAAGAACAGTCTGAAATCAAATTAAAATCTTTGCGAAATCACCTGAAATTCTCCGAAATTTCCCGAAATCCTTCGAATTTACCCGAAATCCCACAAAATCGCTCTGAAATCTTGTCACAGTGAATAATCCTTCGAAATCTTTCCGAAATCCTATTTTTTACTGGAAAAATTTGAGATTTTGGGAAAATGAGCCTTTAACCTTTTTTTCTCACATGCAAAAAATTTCAAAATTTTTTCCTCACTAGCTTTTCAGGAAAACTTTAAAATGTGTGAGACTGTATTTTCAATTAATTCATTTATTGGACTTATTGGAGGTTGATTTCCAAGATTCTTCATGTTGTCATTTTCCACTGGAAAAATTTGAAATTTTGGGAAAATAAGTCTCTGACTTTCCTCTTTACATGCAAAAAGTTTCAAAATTTTCTCTTAATTAGTTTTCCCTCGAGTTTTCCAGGAAAACTTTGAAAGTGTGAGACTGTATTTTTCAAGAGGCAAACCACCTTGAAATTTTTTGTTAGAAACTTGGGGAATTTATAGGAAATTTGGAAAAATGTATGGAGAATTTGGAGGATTGTGTTCGATGTTGGACAAATTCCAAGGAATAGTCGTAGAATTACACCTACATGGAATTCCTTGAAATCTTACTGTGGAATTCCAGTGAAATTATATCGAAACCGAAAAATTCCCTCGGAATAAAACAGAATTTTCCGTGAAATTTCCATGGAACCACGAAAACTTGAATTAAATTTTAATGAAATTCTGTGGGTAATTTTTGTCGAAATTTCCATCAAATCTTTTACTGTAATTCCGAGGAATTTTTGGACAAGAATTCCATTGAATTTTATGGTGGAATTCGGAAAAAATCTTATGATAAAATTTCTAAGACTTTCTGTTTTTCTATTCAAATTTGTCATTCGAATGGAATTTCAAGGATTTCCATAAAATCTTCTAGTGAAATTCTGAGGAATTTCTATGGAATTAACAAAAATTTTTGCAGAATTCCCATGGAATATTTATCATTAGGGCTCTCTTAAATTAGTTGATAAAAACGCGTTTCTAAATTTCCTAAAATGATCCAAAATCACCTAAAATCTCATAAATCTAAAATCTTTTAGAATCACGTGAAGTTTTTCCAAAATCCTCAAAATCCTACAAAATCAATGCCTAAAGATTCAATTATGTACACATTTTCTGGATTTAACTAAACTTTAAGCGGTTAATCACCTAAACCGCTCACCCCACCCCCAGATATCCTTTAATATTAATTATCAGCTGAGAACCAATATTGCAACTCTCTGAGGTCTGGGTACCAAATTACATATTCATAACAACTATTTACTACCTGCCAGGAACCAAATTACCAACACCCTTATATCAGCCCATTTAAATTGAGTTAGTTGTCCCATCAAAAAAATTTCACTAATCAATTATTTTTTTTTGTAGAATTTACCGAGCCGATAATTACGAATGCAAACCGTGCCATCAACAGTGCGGCGCCTCTTGTCACGGACCCGGTCCCGACAATTGTACCACCTGTAAAAATTACCAGGACGGTCCGTTTTGCGTGGCGAATTGTCCCACGAACAAGTACGAGGAAAATGGAATTTGCAAGCCGTGCCACAGCACTTGCGTGGATGGGTAAGAATCCTCATCAAATACCTGAATTTTATTTTCAATTAAATGTATTTTCAGATGTACTGGTCCTAAAAACACCGTCGGCCAAGGTGGCTGCACTTCGTGCGAATTGGCAATAATGAACGAAAACACCACAGTGGACATTTGTCTGCACCAAAACGACTCTTGCCCGGACGGTTACTATTTCGAATGGGTCGGACCACAAGTGCAAGAAGAATCTTCTTTGAAAAGTTTAACAGGCAAAGCGATTTGCAGAAAGTGCCATCCCAGATGCAAAAAGTGCACAGGTTACGGCTTCCACGAGTTGATTTGTCAAGAGTGCACCAACTTTAAAAAAGGCGAACAATGCGAAGACGAGTGCACCTTGGATCACTATCCGGATATAGCGACGCACGTTTGTATTGCTTGCGATCCAGAGTGTAGAGGCTGTCAAGGTCCTGGACCAGCAAATTGTGTCATTTGCCAAAACTTCAAACTATTCGACGATGGCTACATGGACCCCAATAACACCTTTACTTGTATTCAAACTTGTCCACCGGAATTCCCTCATCGGATATTTCCAGAAAATTCTGAATCCTATTGCTCGGACAAACCAGAAAGCTTTGCCTTATTGTCAGCTAAAAGTCCTACATATGTTGCTATTATAGCTGTGGGTATTGTAGCAGGTATTTTGGCAATAGTTACTATTGTAGGTGGTTTTGTTTATTGCCAAAGAAAAGAAAAGATCAAAGAAAGCGCAATTAAAATGACTATGGCGATGGCTTTGAATACAATTGAAGATAATGAGCCTTTGAGCCAAAGCAATGCCCAACCAAATGTAGCTCATTTACGTATAATCAAAGAAACTGAAATACGCAAAGGCAGCACTTTGGGATTTGGTGCGTTTGGTGTTGTATATAAAGGCGTTTGGGCTGTAGACGGTGAAAACTCAGCTAAAATTCCAGTTGCAATAAAAGTCTTACGCAACGACACCACCACAAATAACAGCAAAGAGTTTCTATCAGAAGCTTACATCATGGCTAGCGTTGACCATCCTAACTTACTAAAACTATTAGCCGTTTGCATGACCTCACAAATGATGCTGATTACGCAACTGATGCCTCTAGGTTGTCTACTAGATTTTGTCAGGAAAAATCACGATAAAATCGGCTCTAAAACAATGCTGAATTGGTGTACGCAAATCGCAAGAGGAATGGCTTATTTAGAAGAAAAACGTTTGGTTCATAGAGACTTAGCAGCCAGAAACGTGCTGGTCCAAAAACCCTCTTGCGTTAAAATAACTGATTTTGGCCTGGCCAAACTTCTAGACATCAATGAAGAGGAATACAAGGCAGCAGGAGGCAAAATGCCCATCAAATGGCTAGCCTTAGAGTGCATCCAGCACAGGATATTCACTCACAAGTCCGACGTTTGGGCTTTTGGCGTTACTGTTTGGGAACTGCTCACTTTCGGCGGTAGGCCCTATGACAATGTACCTGCAAGAGACGTACCCGAATTATTGGAAAAAGGCGAACGACTGCCTCAACCTAGCATTGCCACAATCGACGTTTACATGATCATGATCAAATGTTGGATGCTGGATGCTGAAAGCCGGCCCTGTTTTAAGGAGCTGGAAGATGATTTTTCAAAGATGTCTCTAGATCCGGGACGATATCTTATGATTCCAGGCGATCGGTATATGAGGCTTCAAGGTGGACTAAGTACGCCATTGGTATGTTTTTTCATTCACCAACTTTTTTGATTCATTATTAATATAATTCATTTTAGAGTGACAGAGATATGGTGCGTTCGCTGGCCTCAGAAAACATGGACGCGTCGGAAATGGACGATTACATGCACCAGCCAAAATCCAGGGTGCCGTTCCACGGTACCGGGATGACATCATTGTCGGGCGCCATGTCAGTGTCGCCGACTCCCGACAAGTACTGGCACTCGCAGCAAGTCAACTCAGATGGCAGTTCGATGTATCCGAATTCGCAAAATAATTTCAATCATAAACTTGTCAGGTAAAGAATTATTTCATCAATTGGTTATTTAACTTTCTAAGTGTCATGGATTTTTTTTTTGTAAAAATTGACTATAGATCAGAATTCCTGTGGATTTTGGCCTAAGCCAACAATCAGGAGTTATAAACAATCTGAAAAGTTCTATATATCAGTCTATTATCAGAATTTTCATGGTTTGCTTACTAAATTAAATACATTGGCTAGTTCTGTTCCTTTAGTTTCATACCAAGTTCTGGTTTTTACGGAGACTTGGCTCACTGATGCTGAACTGAGCATGGAGCACTATAACGTCTTTAAATGTGATCGTTCAACTTCTTCCAGTACTGCCACCAGAGGGAAAAGTGTATTGATAGCAATTCAGGAGTGCGTTCGAAATCACCCTGGACGTCACACCGAGTGCGCACCAGCCATGAATAATTCATAACTGGTGTGCACTCGGTGTGACGCCCAGGGTGATTTCGAACGCACCCCAGAGGGGTATTTTTAGCTCAATCTGCGACTCACCCAGAACTATTGAACAGTTATTCGTCAGGGTGCACTCGGGGTAAATTATTGTTTGGTGCAGTTTACCTACCACCTAAATCCAATAGTTAGTGTAACCCTCATACAGTACAATGTGACTATTACAGTTGTCTGAAGGTAAATTTTGGTACTCTGCTTGAGTGGATCCGCGACTACCTTAGGAATAGAACCCAAACAGTCAATATCGTCAACTTCTGCTTACAGCCTATTGACATTCCCCCAGGTGTATTTACCACAAGGATCTCACCTGGGACCCATGTTATTCAATATTTTCATCAACGATGTTGGTTCTTGTTTTATTAATAGTAAGTTTCTGTGTTTTGCCGATGTGTTAAAGATATTCGCCCGAGTCTCCTCCCACAAAAATTGTACCAAACTACAATCTGACTTGGATAGACTTTCCGAATGGTGTGACACAAGTGGCATGGTACTCAATGCCTCTATGTAAAGCTATCGTTTTCTCCAAAAGTCAAAGCCCCATACAATTTGTTTAACACATAAGCAATGAACCACTGTCCCAGTGTCATTTTTGATAACATTAAGCTTCTCCAACCACATTTCGGATATCGCTACCAGGTCTCTAAAACTGCTGGGCTTTGGTAAGAGGTGTTCAATGGACTTCACTAACATCTCTTCCATCAGGCTTTTCTACTGCACAATGATAAGGCCCATCTTGGAGTACTGCTCCTCGGTTTGGTCACCTATGTATTCTGTCCACATCAACGCTTTGGAGCAGGTGCAACGTAAATTTGTATAGTACTTTGGCCTTCAAGGCAGGTTTTCGTCCTCCCGAAAATTATATCTATTAGGTAATATGATGACCTCTATCGACGCTTCAACCTGCATTGTATGTATGTATGTGTTGGAAGTGTCAGTTGCACTGCGATCAAGGTTGATCTATTGTACCCCTCCTTCTACTGCTAAGTTCGGGTTTTCTGCTTAAAGCAGTCCTAGGTCCTTTAGGAATTTTAGGATGTCTAGCGGTTCCAGGGCTGGAATGTCTTCCAGCTGTATAAGGAGACTTCCCAAGTTCTTCATTCTTGAGTGGCTTACGGCATCGCAGTTCAGTAGAAGATGGTGAGGTGTTTCTTCACCGTCTTCGCAGAATCTGCAAGTGTTACTTTCTTCCAACCCCAGATTATGTAGGTGCTTATTCAGTCTGAAACCCGGTTAGAGTTTTGAGACTTTTCTCGCTAAGGTTGACCAGCAGTTCAGATCTTTTTCGGTTGTAGCTACCCAATAGATCTTTGGCCGGTCGTAGTCCTGTTTGGTCTAGCCATGGTTTGTTCCTTAGCCGGTTCTCTTCTTTTTTGAGGATTTCTTGGAGGTGCGCATTTCCGACGCCGCAGAATGGTTCTGGCCCAGTGAAGGGAGTGAGACATATAGGTCTGAACGACTTCGGTAGAGTAGCATCCTTTCTCCCTGCCTTTGGGATGAAAGTTACTTTAGCTCTTCTCCATAGGCTGTATCTAATGAGTTTGATTAGATACTGCATAATTCCATTTTGCCCTTTTTGCAACAGGGCTGGAAAAATGCCGTCTACTCCAGGTGATTTGAACAATTGAAATTAGTCGATCGCCCAAGCCAGCCGCTGCGGAGTGCAAAGGTTCTTGGCGAGTTTTCTTGCCTGGTTTTTCTGTGCCGTTCTTTGTTTTCTTCAGTACCATTGGGTATGCTTCCTGGAAAATGGGTTTCCTGTAGTAGAGCAGCTCGTTGCTCTTCATTTTCTGTATAACTGCCGTCTGGTTTCTTGAGTGTTAATGGTCCTTGCGCCCTGCCTTTTGCCAGGGTGTATAGTCTGGCTGCTGATGGTGTGTCTGTGATAGATTCACAGAAGTTCTGGAAGTTTTTCCGTTTGGCCTTCCTTAATTCTCTGTTGTGCTCAGTCAGCCTTTCGGTGTAGCCCTGCCATTCTCCGTCCCGTTTGGCTCTGTTAAAGAGACAGCGAACTTCGAATCTAAGTCGTGACAGGTGACCATTCCACCATGGGCAACCTTTTTTGTTTACTTGTTCCTTCACAGGACAACTGGATTCGTATGCCTCCATGATTGCTTCGTTGAGGATTTGAAGGGTTTCTTCTACTTCACGTGTGTTCCTGCAGCTAACCTTGTTTTGTTTGAGGTTGCGTTGCAGTTTGCTTGTGTATTCTTCCCAGTTTGTGTTTCTGGGGTTTCTATACGAGGCAGTTCGTTCCTGCGCTCCTTTTACTTCAAATATTATGATTCTATGATCAGAGAGAGAGGGTTCATTCGAGGCTCTCCAATTCCTGATCATTTGGTCAATATTTGGACTTCAAAGTGTTATGTCTAACACCTCCTGTCTGACCCTAGTAACAAATGTTGGTGTATTCCCTACATTTAGTATATTCAGGTTTGTTTGAAAGATAAATTCTAACAGTTGCTCACCTCTTAGGTTTGTGTCGGTACTTCCCCAGATAGTGTTGTGGGCGTTGGCGTCACAGCCAATAAGGAGCGGTAGTTTGTTCCTGCTGCAGCACTCGACTAGTCTCTGCACTTCTTTTGGTGGTGCTTGCCCATCTCCAGCGAAGTAGCCTCATGCCAGTACTAGGTCGCGGTGTGGTGGGTCGGTGGTAAGTTTAACCCGAACCGTAACCCAGTCCCGCGACGTAAATTCTGAAAGACATAAATGATTAATATTTTCATTCAGGAGAATGCATGCTCTAAGGTTGTTACACCGACTATCCCAGATTATTTTTGCGCCTTTACTTGACAGGCCTTTGATCTGCCCCTTGTGTATCCAAGGTTCTTGGATTAGTACGGCTCCCAAGTGTGCCGACGTGAACAACCGCGCTATGGCAGCAGATGCTCCCTAGCGTGATGCGCGTTCACCTGGGCTCTTGTGGTGTAATTCGCCATCTTATCTGTTATTGTTGATTCTGGTGTGGTGGAGTGATGACCTCCTAACCGCCCAGAAGCATTTTTTCTTCCTCACTGGGCACTTCCTCTGCCGGAGTGAGAGTTTTCTCCCCCTCCTCAAGGCCTTCGTCCTCTTTCCCTTCGTCTTCTTCTGAAGGAGACTCCGGTTTGGATTCCGGGGAGGTGGGCTCCTTCGGTTCCTCGTTTGTTTCTTCTTTACCCTTTCTCTTTTTTAGGCCGTGTACGGGGATTTTCCCGAACCTATAGAAGAGGTTGCACCCCATTGTCCTAATGGTTTCGCAGGACCCATCGTCTATGCCGATGTTGAGCAGCTGGCCGTTACCCTCGTCCTTGCAGCCTATTACTTTCCATAGCTGAGGATTTTAAGGGGGTCTTGCCCTTTGCTTCTTGGGAAGAAGACTGTGATGGTGTGCGCCTTTGGGATGTCGTCTCCCAGGCACACCATCAGCTTTCCTCCCTGCCAGGTTTCCAACCTGGGGACGTGCTCTATCAGCCACTCAACTGTTTCCTTGGTGAGGCAATCAATCACCAGCATGCTTGGTCGGAAATGTATGCCTCCAAATTGGAGTTTATGTTCCGCCCCTTTCATCATTTCCTCCACAATGGAGTCCTCTAGGGCAGAAAGTTCTTCTGAATCTTTATGCTGCCACCTTTATGATTTTTGCTGACTCGGCGACCTGCAACCCTTAGTCGCCAGACGAAATCAAAGTGATTTATTATCATTTTTCAAAATACTAAACTCTCACAACGATTCCATGTACCTACTATCCAGAATTGGACTTCATGCACCAGCAAGAACCACACGCTCTTCCACTCAGGAAAGATCCACCCGACCATGGTTCGAATACTTTTATTTTCAGAGCTTCCCGAATCTCTAATGAGTTCAATACCCTGGACTTTTTCAGTATTCGTGAAGACTTTAAAAGAGATCTCAAGTCCTTAAACAAAGTTCCTGTACTTATTAATTGTTAATGTGATATTTAGTAATAAGAAATAATTTTATTGAGATTTCCCGTCAATAAATAAATAAATAAATAGATAAAATAAATGGATAAATAAACTCTAATTTAAATTTTCTTTTCTAGATATAACCAAGGTATGCATCGACACTTCAATCCGAGCTTGCAAGGAACCCAGTCCGACATTTCCTCCATCAAATACTGCGGCGACTCGCTAAAATTCCGCGAAACCGACATCGGATCGGACGAGTACGACTCGAGCGGCAAATCGCAGCACGCCCAAGTCGGTACCTTGAAACTGGAACTGCCGATCGACGAAGACGACTACCTGATGCCCTCGCCTCAGCAGCACATAACTCAAGGTCCTTCGGCCTACTTGGACCTTAAAAACACCACTGATCACGTGGTTAATCCTTACTCGGAGTTGTTCCAAAATAACATTGATAATCCTGAGTATTTGATGAATAGTGCACCGGATCAGACTGTGGGGCTTCCGGATGTTAGTGATTTTGCTGTGCCTCAATCTCCGGGGGTTGTTGAAGGAGCTAAAGGGCCTTATTTGCCTAGGAGTAGCGAAGAGGAAAGTGATCATGAATGCTACAACGATTTTGATAGGTTAAGGCGAGAGCTACAGCCTTTACAAAAAACTAAAGATGGTGCAATCGTTTAGATTGTGAACCAGCACTTACAAAGTGATTTTTTAGTTAGTAATCAACGCACAATTATTGAACTGATAGGATTTATATATGTACAAAACAAAAATAATGGCCTTTTGTACTTTACGTGCTTAAAAGGCTGTGCAAAATGGTGATTTTAATTGGCTATCCATCCGATTGGAATCAAAGCTTCTCTCCCAGTAAAATATTCTTATAAAACTACTTAACTAGAGTTTAAGCAAGTGTCAAATAGACAATAACTGAATCGTGCCATTTTATTTTTTTTAAAAAATGGCCCTTTATTTTTTTTTTTGTAAATAGTTTTTATATTTTATTGTATATATAATTTGCGCAATAAGTTGGTGATTTGTAACTTGAAGATGTAATTCCTGGGCCAGATCCTAAATGTAAATCTTGCCCAATCTTTTTTTTTTATTCGATCTGTGATAATCTTATTTTATACGTGTAAAAATGGTTTTAATGTTTAGTTGATTCGTTTTAGGGTTTTTTTATATTGTTTAAGCAGCAACTAATCTCGATTGTGAAAAATCTCATTCCTTAAATTTTAATTTGTTTTTGTTAAGTCTCATTTTGTAATTAACACGAAATTTTGTTAACTGCACTAAACTTTGTGCCATTTTTATAAATTTATTGAAAAGTGCCTTTATATTATTGTATATTGATTTTTATTTTCATTCATTTGATAAATTTATGTGGTTTTTTAAATAAAATAAAAATATATTTAATAATACAAAAATGTGTAATTTTTTTTAGCTTCCTGGGTTATTGTTTGAATCTAATCAGTGAAACAAACAACAAAAATTAATTAGTGATTGTTTAATAGGATTACATAAAAGTTCATTAGTTAATTGAAGGATTTTTGTTGCGTGGATTTGTGTCATTTTGTTTCAATACCTGCATAACAGACTACAGAGAAAGTGACATCGATTTATAAAAGTAAAACTATTTATTATCAGTTAAAAATAGTTCTTAACTAAAAGTGAAATTTATTCCAGTTTTCAATGTCTTTAAAATCCATTCCAGATTTCTCTATCAATTTTTTAGATTTTCAAAGTAGGTGTTCAGTCTTCAGATATGTAGTAACAAGACTTGAGTTCCAAGTCATAGGCATCTGGATTAGACAATAGGAGACAATTTTCAGTGTAAGAGGGTTCAAATTAGAGTTTTGACTTCAAAAATCCTTAGATTTTCTAGAGTCTCTATTCAAATTTTAAAACCTCAAACATCCTTATGACTTGACTGCTCAAAAATCTTCAAAAGCTGGGAATGTGATTTTTAGCCTTAGTTACATTTGGGCTCTATTTCATAATGAAGATCACCCTGACAAGGAACAATTATTGAACTAAAATTTTCAGGGATTGTAACCTGCCAGTGGGATAGGAATCGCTGAAAATTTCAGCTTTCTATCTTTAATAGAAAAAAAGTTATGATCTTTCAAAGTTTTCCAAAATCTAAATCATAAGGTAGGTACCTTCCCAATGAAATTTCAAATTTTTTGTCGAGATTTTGTGTCCTGATGGTCAATCAACATACCCCAAACTCCATATACTAAATTATTTTCAGATTTGAAGCCGAAATCTATGAAAAAAGGCACTCAGAATAATTGAAAAATTGATAAATCACCCCAAATTGCTTAACACGATTTTATCTCAGGAACTATAAGTGCAAACGAGTTGAAATTTTCAGGCATTGTAGTCCTCTACTGAAATAAGAAACGCTGAAAATTTCAGCTTTCTATCTATGATAGAAAAAAAGTTATGACCTTTCAAAGTTTTCCAAAATCTAAATCATAAGGTAGGTACCTTCCCACTAAAACGAGGAAATTACAAAATTTTTTTTTGTCGAGATTTTGTATCCTAATGGTCAATCAACATACCCCAAACTCCATACACTAAATTATTCTCAGATTTGAAGCCGAAATCTATGAAAAAAGGCACTCAGAAAAATTGAAAAATTGATAAATTACCTCAAATTGCTTAACACGATTTTATCTCAAGAACTATAAGTGCAAATGAGTTGAAATTTTCAGGCATTGTAGTAGTCCTCTACTTAAATAAGAAACGCTGAAAATTTCAGCTTTCTATCTATGATATAAAAAAAGTTATGACCTTTCAAAGTTTTCCAAAATCTAAATCATAAGGCTTCCCACTAAAACGATGAAATTTCAATTTTTTTTTTGTCGAGATTTTGTGTCCTAATGGTCAATCAACATACCCCAAACTCCATACACTAAATTATTCTGAGATTTGAAGCCGAAATCTATGAAAAAAGGCACTCAGAAAAATTGAAAAATTGATAATTCACCCCAAATTGCTTAACACGATTTTATCTCAGAAACTATAAGTCCAAATGAGCTGAAATTTTCAGGCATTGTAGTCCTTTACTGGGGTAAAAACTCGGGTAAAAATCATTGAAAATTTCAGCTTTCTATAATAGAAAAAAAGTTATGACTTTTCAAAATTTTCCAAAATCTACATCATAAGGTAGCTCACCTTCTTACTAAAACGATACAATTTCAAATTTTTTTTTGTTGAGATTTTATACCGTGACGGTCAATTAACATCCACCAAACTCCATACACTAAATTATTCTCAGATTTGAAGCCGAAATCTATGAAAAAAGGCACTCAGAAAAATTGAAAAATTGATAAATTACCTCAAATTGCTTAACACGATTTTATCTCAGGAACTATAAGCGCAAATGAGTTGAAATTTTCAGGCATTGTAGTCCTCTACTGAAATAAGAAACGCTGAAAATTTCAGCTTTCTATCTATGATAGAAAAAAAGTTATGACCTTTCAAAGTTTTCCAAAATCTAAATCATAAGGTAGGTACCTTCCCACTAAAACGAGGAAATTTCAAAATTTTTTTTTGTCGAGATTTTGTATCCTAATGGTCAATCAACATACCCCAAACTCCATACACTAAATTATTCTCAGATTTGAAGCCGAAATCTATGAAAAAAGGCACTCAGAAAAATTGAAAAATTGATAAATTACCTCAAATTGCTTAACACGATTTTATCTCAGGAACTATAAGCGCAAATGAGTTGAAATTTTCAGGCATTGTAGTCCTCTACTGAAATAAGAAACGCTGAAAATTTCAGCTTTCTATCTATGATAGAAAAAAAGTTATGACCTTTCAAAGTTTTCCAAAATCTAAATCATAAGGTAGGTACCTTCCCACTAAAACGAGGAAATTTCAAAATTTTTTTTTGTCGAGATTTTGTATCCTAATGGTCAATCAACATACCCCAAACTCCATACACTAAATTATTCTCAGATTTGAAGCCGAAATCTATGAAAAAAGGCACTCAGAAAAATTGAAAAATTGATAAATTACCTCAAATTGCTTAACACGATTTTATCTCAGGAACTATAAGCGCAAATGAGTTGAAATTTTCAGGCATTGTAGTCCTCTACTGAAATAAGAAACGCTGAAAATTTCAGCTTTCTATCTATGATAGAAAAAAAGTTATGACCTTTCAAAGTTTTCCAAAATCTAAATCATAAGGTAGGTACCTTCCCACTAAAACGAGGAAATTTCAAAATTTTTTTTTGTCGAGATTTTGTATCCTAATGGTCAATCAACATACCCCAAACTCCATACACTAAATTATTCTCAGACTTGAAGCCGAAATCTATGAAAAAAGGCACTCAGAAAAATTGAAAAATTGATAAATTACCTCAAATTGCTTAACACGATTTTATCTCAGGAACTATAAGTGCAAATGAGTTGAAATTTTCAGGCATTGTAGTCCTCTACTGAAATAAGAAACGCTGAAAATTTCAGCTTTCTATCTATGATAGAAAAAAAGTTATGACCTTTCAAAGTTTTCCAAAATCTAAATCATAAGGTAGGTACCTTCCCACTAAAACGAGGAAATTTCAAAATTTTTTTTTGTCGAGATTTTGTATCCTAATGGTCAATCAACATACCCCAAACTCCATACACTAAATTATTCTCAGATTTGAAGCCGAAATCTATGAAAAAAGGCACTCAGAAAAATTGAAAAATTGATAAATTACCTCAAATTGCTTAACACGATTTTATCTCAGGAACTATAAGCGCAAATGAGTTGAAATTTTCAGGCATTGTAGTCCTCTACTGAAATAAGAAACGCTGAAAATTTCAGCTTTCTATCTATGATAGAAAAAAAGTTATGACCTTTCAAAGTTTTCCAAAATCTAAATCATAAGGTAGGTACCTTCCCACTAAAACGAGGAAATTTCAAAATTTTTTTTTGTCGAGATTTTGTATCCTAATGGTCAATCAACATACCCCAAACTCCATACACTAAATTATTCTCAGACTTGAAGCCGAAATCTATGAAAAAAGGCACTCAGAAAAATTGAAAAATTGATAAATTACCTCAAATTGCTTAACACGATTTTATCTCAGGAACTATAAGTGCAAATGAGTTGAAATTTTCAGGCATTGTAGTCCTCTACTGAAATAAGAAACGCTGAAAATTTCAGCTTTCTATCTATGATAGAAAAAAAGTTATGACCTTTCAAAGTTTTCCAAAATCTAAATCATAAGGTAGGTACCTTCCCACTAAAACGAGGAAATTTCAAAATTTTTTTTTGTCGAGATTTTGTATCCTAATGGTCAATCAACATACCCCAAACTCCATACACTAAATTATTCTCAGATTTGAAGCCGAAATCTATGAAAAAAGGCACTCAGAAAAATTGAAAAATTGATAAATTACCTCAAATTGCTTAACACGATTTTATCTCAGGAACTATAAGTGCAAATGAGTTGAAATTTTCAGGCATTGTAGTCCTCTACTGAAATAAGAAACGCTGAAAATTTCAGCTTTCTATCTATGATAGAAAAAAAGTTATGACCTTTTAAAGTTTTCCAAAATCTAAATCATAAGGTAGGTACCTTCCCACTAAAACGAGGAAATTTCAAAATTTTTTTTTGTCGAGATTTTGTATCCTAATGGTCAATCAACATACCCCAAACTCCATACACTAAATTATTCTCATACTTGAAGCCGAAATCTATGAAAAAAGGCACTCAGAAAAATTGAAAAATTGATAAATTACCTCAAATTGCTTAACACGATTTTATCTCAGGAACTATAAGTGCAAATGAGTTGAAATTTTCAGGCATTGTAGTCCTCTACTGAAATAAGAAACGCTGAAATTTTCAGCTTTCTATCTATGATAGAAAAAAAGTTATGACCTTTCAAAGTTTTCCAAAATCTAAATCATAAGGTAGGTACCTTCTTACTAAAACGATACAATTTCAAAATTTTTTTTTGTCGAGATTTTGTATCCTAATGGTCAATCAACATACCCCAAACTCCATACACTAAATTATTCTCAGATTTGAAGCCGAAATCTATGAAAAAAGGCACTCAGAAAAATTGAAAAATTGATAAATTACCTCAAATTGCTTAACACGATTTTATCTCAGGAACTATAAGTGCAAATGAGTTGAAATTTTCAGGCATTGTAGTCCTCTACTGAAATAAGAAACGCTGAAAATTTCAGCTTTCTATCTATGATAGAAAAAAAGTTATGACCTTTTAAAGTTTTCCAAAATCTAAATCATAAGGTAGGTACCTTCCCACTAAAACGAGGAAATTTCAAAATTTTTTTTTGTGGAGATTTTGTATCCTAATGGTCAATCAACATACCCCAAACTCCATACACTAAATTATTCTCAGATTTGAAGCCGAAATCTATGAAAAAAGGCACTCAGAAAAA